ACTGAAGCAAGTTCCTACTTAGAATTTGGCACAACTGTTAATCTTTTCTGATGGCAAAAAACATACAGATACCCACACAGCCTAACTGCCTGTTCACTTTCAGTGGGACGATCCTCTGAACCAATTTCCAATATTTCTTGGCCCTAGGGGAGGACGAATCCAGAATAATCTACAAAGTCTTGGTCAGGTCTAGGTTGGAGTCAGCACCCAGCCCAGTCTCAGGTTGATGTAGGATGAAACTTTGTGCCACACGTGGTAGCAGTTTATACTCTCAGACTATATATTGCTGACCATAAAATTGGACCTCCCTCATGACTATTTTAGGCTATGCCTTATTTTGTGAGGTAGGGCCAAAGGAGGGGAAGTTAGCTGGCAGAAGAAAATATTGAAAGCACCTTTTTTTTTTGTTTTCTCTGAAGGCCCATCAACTCTAAACACTTATGGGGTTTCCTTGGTTACTCAAGGGACCGGATAGATTCTTGGGGTTGCACCCCCCTTGTTCTTGTATTTAGTTCCCCAGCTGGCTGATTGCTCACTTGAATTCAGCCCAGTACAGATGACAGCACCTCTAATTCAGAGAAGGATGACACAATCTAGCTTCAAGTTGCTACTTTGCTTGTAAAAGCTCATTTCCTGGGAGTCCAAATAATTATGTTTCACCTGTGCATGTACTTTGTAATTACCTTATTTTCTTAATTATGCTTGATGACAAAATTATCAAAATTCAACCATCAAAACCAAAATAAAGTCTGGGAGCAAAACGTGCCTTGCTCTATCATCAGAGAAACTTAGAAAAAGGGACACTTTCACACATCTCCAGAAGGGAAAGTAAACAGATCTTTGGGTATACCCACTCTGCCTAGGAGGCTACTTTTGGAAGGAAATGTGAAAGTTTCAGAAATACTATAGGTTCTCTATATATTATTGAATGTGTCAAGGAGGTATCTCACCACAAAGGCGGACTGTGGTTGGTGGCAGGCAGGTGCCTAAGGGCGAGGATGTGTGGGGGATATTCATGATAATGTTGCTAGTGACAACAAAGGAAGTTTGCATTTCTCTGATTTCTTCTTCCTCTTCACCTTCCCCTTCTTCTCCCTCCACCTTTTCCATTTCCCCCTCCCTTCTCTACTCCTCCTCATCTTTGTTTTATTCTGCCCTCTTCTCTTTCTCCTCCTCTTTCTTCTCTGCTTCTCATCATTCTTTTTCCTTATTAATATACATCCATTCAACACATCTTGACTTGATGTATGTTATAGGTTTTCTAGGTGTACCAGGTCAGGTTTAAAGATACCAATGATTTGATCAAGGATGTTGGCATCAACTTATGCTTATACTGTGTCTATGAAGTTTCAGTGGAATTTGCTCACATTTGAGTCTCTGATATCAACAGGAAGAGTTTTATTTTAAACATTCAAGAGTCAAATTTCTTTTAAGAAGACACAAGATAATGTGGTGAAGGTTCTTAGTCTTTTCCCAAATGAACCAGTTTTCTAGGTCATGGTTTGCTAATAGTTCTCATTGGCCAGGTAATCCTCAGAAACTTGATTTTAATTGACAACTCTCCTTACTCTGCATTTATTCTCATATATTCCATCATTCAAGGGTGATCAAACCCATTAGAAGTTTTCTCAGTGCAGGATATGATGCATTCCCAAAAGTGGCTTTTCATAAGGCTGCCTGGGAATTTTTGATGAATAATGTAATTTAAGAAATACTGGTGTCACTATCTAGTATCTCACTGCTAATTTCCCTCCCCAAGGGTCTGAGATACCTCCCATTCTTTGGGATCTCTTTTTCCAATCCAATTAAATCTAGGTGAACTCCTCTATTCAAGTCCTGCTTACAAAGGTGATAGGGACTCATTACCACCATTGCTCTCCAGACACTGAGAGATTCCTAACTCCCTAGAGAAAGTATGATGTTGAAGACAAAAAAAGTGACATGGAGGAAAGTCTGGAGACACTAAATGTGACCTTATCTACTTTACAGTTTGGGGTAGGGTTAACTTTTGTCTGTGGTGTTGTCTGGGTATCAAGAATTTGGCCATTGGAGGGGGCCCTTCTTAATGTCTTAGAGGCAACATCATTACTGCTATTTACTTACGCTTCTAGGTCAAGGTCTTCCCAGTTTTATAACATTGGGGTATAGTGCTCTGAAAAATATTTCTGTTTTCAAGCTGTCTGCTTGTGAGATTATATTACTCAAAGAGCTCTTTCGCTTATTATCTTTTGTAAGGTATCAAGCATTAAAGACAGTTCCTTAGGGCAAGTGAGCTGTTGAGTGCCACTGAGATCTTACCCCTGTGGCTCAGCATAGGATCCAGCTTGGATATTTTATTACCTTCTGTGTTGATATATTGAAATGAGATGATCATCACCACAGGTTTCTCTTGATTGTACACATCCATGTTCACTCTCTGGGCAGCAGTTGTCTTCCTAAGGGTCACATGGGAACAATTTTTCTCTCCAACGTACCCAGATTTATAGGATTTCTGCCTTACACGGCTTTATGACAGCTATTTAGCTTAGAGACAGGTAGAACGGATTTAAAAGAAAAAAAAACAAACAATAAACAACCAACTAGCACCACACAGGAATAAAGAAAAGTATTTTAGTATAAGCAATATTGCAATGTAGAAAGAAACATGGAATATTCTTGTTGCTGAGGGTGGATGTAATAAGAGTATAATGTCCGTTTCTATGGATTGACGTGATTGCTCATTTATACCGAGGAAAAGTGCCTTAGATTAATTTTGGAAACTTCAATACCTCAATGTGCTAAATTTTAATTATTTCACTTCCTGCTTGGTATATTAATGTTGTGATTACCCTTGAAAGAGTATTACCGATGATGATTTATGCAAAATCCAGTCAGTTCCTCAGCTCCATCAGTTTCAATTAAAACAAGCCACAGAGGAAGCGTGCTGCTGCCGCATTGGCTGCACATCAATATTACTCTCATGAACAGGTACAGTTCGTTTACGTAAAGCATTACCTTTGTGTATCCTTCTGGAACCATCTCTTCCAAGGCGCAGCTAACCACTGAGAAGAAATTGTAGAGATTTGGTCTGCTGGCCTTGGATTCAAACTCAAACCATCCAGGAAAATGTATTTATGTATCTCATCCATACTTCTCTGCAGATATAGGACATTTGGGGACATCCCTTCTCTTTTTTGAAAGGTTCAAGGGCTGCACCAGCCAAAAGAAACTATGGAGCAGTTAGCATTTTCTGATTTCAATGAACAGCATTTGATCAGTCTCCGGGCACTGTGTGGACATCTAGAGTTAATCATAAAGTATGTGCGTTTTCTAAAATGAAGCGCTGGCTTCACAGCTCATTAATCTCAATGACTTCAACTATGCAGAGGTCGTAGGGCTTTTCATGGTGCGTCCCCAGTACCCAGGCTCTCTAATTACTAATTTGGCTGCACAGTTATTGAAGTCTCCTCTCTACCTGGCAGCCCTTCCTAAATTTAGTCCAAACAGTGTCTCTGGGTTTGCCCGCCAAGTCCAGGAGGGGCTCTTCTCTCTGAGTACCAGAGAGACGGGCAGCCAAACCTGATTTCAATGGCAGTTCCATTTTAATCACATTTGGAAATGCTTGACTACAAGCTGCCCATTTATAAAGTCAAGGGAGCCCATACTTGCCAAGAGAGAGCTCCCTGGACAACTTGCCAGGAGAAGAATTGGATGCCTAGCAAAGAAAGGAAAGTGCCTCCACCTTCCTCTGTACACGGACCCAAGTCTGGGATGGAGTCACAGAATCATGGAGCTGGGAGACTGAGGACTTTTCACAGCTTGTGCATGATCTCAAATGGATTCCACTTTCCAGCTTCATCTCTTACCTTCTCCTCTTACTCTACACAGGACGCACATAATCAAAGGTCCCATGAACCTTCTTACCTGGAGGCTTTTGCTCTGGATGAGCTCTCCATCCAAAAGTCTTTGCTCCCGTATTTCAATTTTTATTTTTACCTCTTTAGGTCTATGTGCAAATGTCTCTTTTACAGAGGACTTTGACCACCATATCATTCTCCATCCATGCTTGTTTGTTTCTGTGATGGAATATATGTGGTTTTAAAGGTTACTTGGGTATTACCTGATTCTCCTACTCCATGAAGTCTTACAACTATGATGTTCCTAGCACAAAGCACAGTTGGGATGATGGTGTCACTACTTCATTCCTCTGTTTAGGAGAAGACATTTCAATTTAGTTAAAAGTCACATTCTCAATTATTCAACAAATATTTACTTATTTACTTGCTATATGAGTTGGGAAAAATTTATTTAAAAATCCAAAATCTGAAATGCTCTGAAATATGACAACTTTTAAATATGAAGGATGTCCAAAATACTTCATATTTTAGAGCATTTCAGATTTCAGATTTTTGGACAGGGAATGTTCAACTGGTAATGTCTATGAAAATATCCCAAAATCTGAAAAAAATAAAAATTCTGAAATGGTTCTTGTTCTGAGCATTTTGGATAAGAGAAAGTCAACCTGTTCTATATAAATCACCCATGAAAAAAACACATTTTTCCACACAGATGCAGATTGGTACTATTTATGGAAGGCAAGGTGCATTCTGTATAGATCAGGTTTGAGATGCATTATGGCAATGAAAAGTGTGGTTACCCAGAGATATAAGGGCTAAAGTTCTGTCTGATGCTATTTCCCTGGACAGGCTCTCTGTCCATTCTCTGCCCCCCTCTGTCCAGGGTAGCAAGGCAGCAAAAGTCCCTGGCAAGTAGAATTGACAAATTAGGTTAATCAAATCCACTCTCCAATTGTTAACCTGTACCATCCTTATATTTTTCTTTCCTAATTGCCTCTTTTGTGAAATTTATTTTTGTTCTCTTTTCTATCCATTAATATTGTAGAATTTACTTTTGTCTTTCCAGTGTATGTTTTAAAAACATGTTTGCTCTTTATGACATGCCAATAACCTTGACTTCTCCTCTTCTCTCTTTTCTTGTCTTCTCTTCCCTCTGGCAGTCTGTCAGGCCCTGATGAAGTTCCCTGCCTTTCTCTGTAGACATGGAAGTCGCATTAGGTATCTTTACTGTGCCTTCCTCTACCTCCTCACTGGCCTGACAGCACCTGTATTCCTGGATAACAGTTTGCAGCGTTCTACATGCAAAGGGACAATGCTTTGGGCACACAAGGAAGGTGAGGATACTGATCTGTCACCAGATGGATGTGCCATTCCTGATTCTCCCACCTTCTGACTCTGTAATCTTATGCAAGTCACTTTTCTGAGCTTAGATTTCCAATAAAAATGAAATAACTAAAACCTCATGATAATTATTGTGAGAGTGAAATGTATAACATTAGCAAAGTTCCAGGACACAGAATGTAGATAATAATTACAGCTATTTCTTTATAACAATAGAAGGAAGTTCTTTACCCTCAAACAACCAAACCCTAAAAGTATACTATTAATAATTTTCTCCTTTGGAATAAGCATTCCTTTTTGTGGTCCTTCATGGAAATAAATATACTCTTGGGATATAGCATCCGTCAGGGTTCTGACAGGAAACAAATGGCATTGCTCAAAAAGTTTTAACTAGAGGGATTTTAATAAAAGATCATAAAAGTAATGGGCAGAATCAAGGGAACTCATAAGGGACGGGGTGGCACCCAGGGCCTAGCAACAGCAAGAGGCTAATACTACCCTTAGAAAAATAACTGTTCTACTTCAATAGTGAAGAATAATACAGAAATCAGTCTCAGTACACTGCTGAGTGCCTACCCTGTGTTGAGTCATATAAAGTTAGGCTGTTCAATGATTCTCAAAGAGCTTATAGTTAAGCTATGGGGAGAGAACAGAAGCTTCTAAGTATGCAGTGGCCCTCAGACTTCAACTTACTTCACAAATATGTAAAAGAGCTGTTGAAACACAGAGTACTGGGCCCTATCTCAGAGTTTTTGATTCAGTGGGTCTGGGGTGGGGCTTGATAATTTGCATTTCCAAGTATTTCAGGTGTTCCTGATGTTGTTGATCCCAGGCCACATGTTGAGAATGCTATGGTTTGGATAAGAAGTGTCACCTGAAAAACTCATAGATTAGGCAAGGAAATGATATTCAGTGGTGAAATGATTAGATTCTGAGAGCTGTAACCTAATCAATGGATCAATTTATTGATGGATTGATACTTTGAATGGTTTATTGTAGGCATGTGGGGCTTGGCTAGAGGAAGTGGAGGGGGCATGTCCTTGGTGATTACATTTTGTCTTTGGCTCTTCATTCTCGGCTGCTATGGGATGAGCAGTTTCCCTCCACCGTACCCTTTCAGCATGATGCTCTGCCTCCCGTTGAGCCCAGAGCAATGAGTTGTCAGACCACGGAATGAACCTCTGAAACCAAAAATAAAAAATAAACTTTTCCTCTTGTAAGTTGTTCTTGTCAGATATTTTGGTCACTGAGATAAAATGCTTACCGACACAGAGAACCACAAATTATGCCCATGTAACAGAATGGTAAGCATGATTATCCCTACATTTTCTGGGGCAGAGATCATAAATTCTAAAAACAGTTGATAGCAGAGAACTCATGCCGAAGAGGAAGAGCATGCAACTCTGGCTTTGAGACTCTTAGCTCACTAGTCCCTTCAAGCTTGTCTAAGTTTAGCCTAGAGAATGGATGAAAGAGTTCTCACAGCGAAGACCACATCAAAGAGAATTATTAGCCATGTGAAGGATTCCTCACATCAATCCATTTGATAGGTATGTCCTGGAGTTTGTGGGAGGTAGCAGCTGGTTCTCTGACTTAGGTCTATGAAATCTAAAAGCATGGAACTGGCTAGAGAGGCCTGAGCAAAGGCACAAGGCTGACCTAGGAATGGCCTACATTTCTGGGACTTGCTGAAGCAAAGATGGTTGAGTTTCCCTCTGGGTCAAATAGACCTGCAGAAAGTGGCTAGCTTAGAGTTGTTTTAAAAATATTCTGTCAGATACACTGTACCTCATAATACAGAGTAATCATTTATGAACAAATATCAATAGAAAGAAATTATTCAACAAATAAATAGTTGAGAATAGACACATGCCCCATGCAAAAGAATCCAGATAATTTCTGTAGGTCTTCTGCCCTCCAAGAGGTGGAACCAAACTTCTTACTTCTTAAGTGTGGGCTTCCACACTGTGACTTCCTTCCAAAGAATATAGTATGGAAAGAAGAAACATAAAAATTACTTTCTAGTATATAAGCCTGGAAAAACTATCCAGGTGTCTGTCAAGGTTTGCACCCATAGTGATAAGTCATATGGATAGCATGTATTCCTGATGTGTTATGATGGGAAAAATATTTTCTCTCTGTGCTCTTCTTCTCCAAAACCTACAGCCACAGTGCTGGTGAAAAGAAAGCTGTCAAGAAGCATCGTGAAGAAGATGGGAGAATAGATTAAATGAGCATTTCTTGAGTAAAATAGATTCAGCTAGAGATCGTTTAATGTGCAGTGAGTGTTAGGACTTAAAGCTAATTCTGTTTCCAGGAATAGGTGTGGTTGTTTAATAATACCAAAAAACACATAGAGCAATTAATAGGGAGAGCAGGTGGGTCAGTGTGGTCCAGGTTGTTGGCTTAGTTTGAAACTCCTAATGGGTATCCCGCCCCCCCGCAAAAAAACCACATTATATCACTCAGTGTAAATTAGCTAATTAGCAAACTCCTATACTTCCTTGCAAGCCTGGTGAAAATGTCCTTCTTTCTGAAATCTGCTATGATATCTTTTGTTTCTTATTCTCTTTTGACTCCCCAGCTCCATCTCAGGCTTCATTGTTCACTCTTTTCTAAATGTCATCAACACTTTAACCAAACTTCTAGTACATCAATTGATGTTCTATCAGTGGTTTTCATGTCAATCTCCTCTGCAAAATAAAAGCTCCTTGCAGTAAGGAACTAATTTTGAACCCAACATACATTAAGTATTCAATAAATACATATTGAATAAATGGATGCATGAGTTTGCCTTTCTCTGTGAAAAGAAGGTACACTGAAGTGTGATAACATGAATAATGAAACAGACAAAGGATTGAGGAGAAGGACCCCAGAGGTCTCACCATATGCAATCTTTGCCACATCCCTTATTCAAATGCAGGTTAAGTCCTGGAAACTCATGCCATAATGTCATCAACATGGCTCAATGGGTTTTTGGTATTCTAGAACACTCATAGGGACCTCATCTTGTTCCTGCTCATTATTACTGTCTCCTGGTTAATATTTTCTTTCTTTTCTTTTTTTTTTGATACTGGGGATTGATTGAACTTTGAACTCAGGGGCACTTGACCACTGAGCCCCAGCCCCAGCCTTATTTTGTATTTTATTTAGAGACAGGTTCTCACTGAGTTGCTTAGTGCCTTGCTTTTGCTGAGGCTGGCTTTGAACTCGTGATCCTCCTGTCTCAGCCTCCAGAGCTGCTGGGATTACAGGCATGAGCCATGGCACCTGGCCTAGTTAACCTTGATGAAAACTAATGTGAGTTTGGCTGTAGGTACAGTGTAACAGCATACGGAAGCCTGAACACATGTTATTTTCCTCTCTGGAGACCGTGAGGCCTTCCTCAAGATGACAAAGAATGACAGTATACTTGGGTCAAACCTTAGCTTTCTGGGTCTAAGGTAGATTAGTATTTTACTGAGATTTTCCACCCACTAAGATGAGCATGCTGGATGGCTAGGTTGGCATAGCCTGGAAGGATGTGGAGAGGAAGCCTGAGAGCATATACCAGATCCACACACAGGTGGTGACTGTCATTTACACCCACCCAGTATTTTTTTTTCACTCTGAATGACTCTGATAAAGAAATAAAATGATTTTATTAGGTAGGAATCTCTAGTACTAAAAAAAAAAGTCTAAGTAATAGATTGAGCATACTCGGAGCTGTGTGGTACTAAGACATGGACAGTCTTAAGCTTTCAGAAGTAGGAAGGTCTCAAGAACGTAACTTGTTCTGTAATAGACTTATACTTAAGTGGCCAAGGTCAAAATAAGACTTTGAATAGATTGCATGTGACGAACCATGGAGAAACACAAATGGAAAATAAATACAAAAAAATAATAAGATACATTAAGTTTCATGATAGCACGCTGAAAAAAATAATAATAACCTCAGGCAAACTACTAGTGCCAATAATTCTGCCAACTCTGTGTTCCCGATGGCCTTTCTTCTTTTAACTGCTTTAGCTTCTCTTAGACCACAAGTTCAGTGGGAGATCTACATTCAGGCCCAGAGTAAAAATTGTCAAGAAGATACAAAATCCAGTAGCACTGGAAACACTAGTCTTCTTTTCCATCTTTGCCAGCAGAGGCCCGGCTACAGGACTGACATTTTTGAGACTCTGCTATGTACCAGGTACCTCAAAAGGCATTTTCTCTCACACTGCTCTCCCTCCAGTTAAAACTCACTTTTAGAGGAGGACGGAATAAAGCTCATTATTGTATAAAATAAAGAGAAATGAGGAGTCGAGTGTTGAGGTGGTCCTAACATTTCCATTTTAATGTGACTCAAGTGTGTGAAAACCAAAGGAGTGTGGGAATGACAAGGCTATGAAGAGAGAGTGTGTGTTTTAAAATGTTGAGAAATGCCATCTTGCACCAATGACTCAATGTCTGAGGGTAGCATGACAGATCTCAGTTCCCAGGGAGAGGCCACCCCACACAGGCACAATGGCCTTCACTGGAAGCGTAGGAGGCCCCCTGCACCTTGCCCTGAATCTTTGCCCATTAGCCGTTTTCACTTATAGGCTCTTCACATTTACAAGTCTCCTAGCTTTCATTGAAATATGAAGGCTATACTGCAAGGGTTTCCCAGAATACCCAAAAAGAGAATTCAATCATCTAAGAGCCTCAAACTTTCCTGTTTAGTATTCTAATATGGTTATGAATCTCTTATTGCATATACAGAAATAAAAATATCATTCCCTATGATATCATCTGTTCTTCTCATCCTTAGATTTAACAGTTAAGCTAGTAACCCTCTGTAATATTTAATAGAGACTCAAATGCAGCCCAACTTTTCCCTGAAATAAAATTCCATTTTAAGCACTAGAATTTGTATGCCAAATCCAGCCCTTTTAAAAATAACGGAAGATATAAATTTTTACTACTGAGTTATAGGCTTTGGAAAAGAGAAGGTTAGTAATGAAAAATGTCATACAAACTGAATAACTAATGCCAATAATGAATGTCATCTCAACAATGCCTCTTACACACAGTAGGATTAGCATGCAGGTCACATCAAATCTCAGCTCTGAATGGGCTGGAAGCTTGCTCACTCAGCACCTTTGGTTTTCAGACTCTATTATCTTGCTTACTTAGTAAATTTAATGTTGTGTAATTTATTTTTTATTGCCTCATTTGTAAGTCTCTCTCTTTCTTCAACCCTAGATATCTTTGGGGTCTTAGAGTGCATATTACACCCAGATGCCCACTTTTTTATAAAACAAAAACATTGCAATTTATTGGAGCTAAGAAATAAGATGCCACCTTGCGCTCCAAAGTTACCAAGACAAGGATGGAGAAGGCGCTGGAAAATAGAGGCTGTTTAGTGGTGAGTACTCCCTCAACAAGAAGACTTCTACAAGTTCCTAAGAGAAAATGCATTCCTCTCAACATTTTCTTTCTCATGAAAGATTAGGGTCTTTTCATAAGTACTTTGCATAGATAATATTTCTCTATTTCGATATTTTATTTATACATATATTCAGTTAGCACAAGTCCATTCTCCCTCTTTCACCTTGCCAACTCCACTGCCATTCCTGTGAAGTTACTCTTTTAAATCCACAATGTAAGCTGGGCATGATGGTGCATGCCTGTAATCCCAGCAGCTAGGAAGGTTTGTGGGTTCAAAGCCAGTCTCAGCGACTTAGCGAGCCCCTAAGCAACTCAGTGAGACCCTGTCTCCAGATAAAATATAAAAAAGGGCTGTAGATGTGACTCAGTGGTTAAGTGCCCCTGGGTTCAATCCCTGGTGCCACCAAAAAAAAAAAAAAATCCACAATGGATAGTATTTCTCACAAAAGGAACTTGCTCTATACATTAAATATAGAAACCTTATAGCATGGTTCCCGAAAATAAATGGTAATGATTATCAAATCCAGAGGAGTTTGAGTTCTAATTTAGGCAGGCAAGATTATGTAAACACTGTGTACTTGATTAGCTAAATTAGGCATCTATCACTTTAAAAATTAAATCTGATAGCAGAGTGCAGTGGCACATGCCTCTAATCCCAGCAGCTGGGGGGGGGGGGAGCTGAGACAGGAAGATTGGGAGTCCAAAACTAACCCCAGAAAAGGCAAAATGCTAAACAACTCAGTGAGACCCTGTTCCTAAATAAAATACAAAATAGGGCTGGGGATGTGCCTCAGTGATTGAATGCCCCAGAGTTCAATCCTCAGTACCAATAAATAAATAAATAAATTAATTAATAAAATAAGATAAAATCTGACAGCAAACCAGGATTTATAAAGAGCTTACTGTGTTCAACTTTGCAAAGATGGATGAGGCCAAAATTCTCTACATTCTAAGAACTGGCTAGTGTGTTCTCATGAATAAATTGAGTATAGAGTATAAATGTGCCAAACTCTCTCTGGGTCACGGGTCCATGCTCATGTATACCTGTCTCCATGCATGTGCATCTGTCAAAAAGAAAAACAACTTGCTTAATATCTATGAGTACTGGAAGAATCCTGAAAACAAGGGTCTTGGAATTTGGTGTTGGTGCTGCTTTTTGGGAGACACTAATTTGTTCTGGTCATAAACATGGGCTCAGGAATGCAATTTCCAAGCTTTGTGTCCAGGTTTTCTGCTTATCAGCTCTATAAGAGAGTTGTTTCATTCCTCTGTGCCTTGTTTTTCTCAATTGAGAAATGGGTATAATGATAGCACAGAGTTTTTCTTATGTAGTATAAGACAAGTTCATGAATTTAGAGCTCAGAGATATGCCTGCCAATTCTGAAGCATTTGATAAAACAACAAGTTCATCTTGTTGTTTATGGAACATGATCATTTTTAATTATTTCTTTCAAGATAACAGAAGGATGAAAACTGCTAGTGCTGATGGGAAACTTTGCATTACTGGCTGCTATTTCTGGAAACACAAAGGTTGGGATGGGGTCCTCTTGGTCATGATGGTTTTGGAATCTACAGCAGGAAAGTTTAAGGATAATGAAGTTCAGGAGGTAGAGATAGGGCATCATGGTCATTTTCATATCCTATTCTCTCTATAGTGTTGACGGCCTTTCGTTTTATTTGATTTAAATTCCTTCCAACATCTTTCCCTCTTGATATGGAATTGAGTTTTGACATGGTTATTGTTAGGCCTGATGTCCCTGGAAGCGACTGCATGTTAGCTGCCACAGTGCATCCTCTCTTGTCTCCTGGGCCACTTCCCTTCTAGCCTGATGCCTGGGACTCCTTTCAACATCCTTCATCTCCATTTAGCATGCAGGCCTTTCTCCTTGCTGCTCACCAGGGACATTCCTCTCTGACAGGCAGCCTCACCATCTCCTCCAGATCCTTCATTTAAAAGCTCAATTCATTCAAGAAGTCTTTCGTGAGATAAAAGGTACCCCTCCGGAAGGCCAGAGACAAACTAGGAAACTCTTGCCTGTATTAGCTCTCCCCACCGAACGTTTTCACTACCATAACCCCCTATAATCCCTGGAGCCTCTTCCTGGATCATACTTTACCTATTCTCTTTATCATCTCCTGTTTCCCTTACTGAATTTTCAATTTCCCTCCAACTATTGCTGAATCTGTGACCACACAGATGTTTATTCTCAGTTGAATTTTCCATACAGGGAAGTAAAATTTGATTTTATGGTGCATCCATCTAATTAAACTAAAACACCAACCTGTGTATTGTTTTAATCAATGCTTTTCATTATATATGTATAGTTTCTCTATAGATCTCTCATTTCTTTTAATCAATCAACCATTCATTAAATGCCTGGGACTCCAACAACCTTTAGGCATGTTGATTTTAAGTCCATCTTGATTAGCTCAACTAAAAGGAAAGGAGTAGGGCTGGGGTTGTAGCTCAGTGATAGAGCACTTGTCTTGCACATGTGAGGCACTGCATTTGATCCTCAGCACTATATAAAAATAAATAAACAAAATAAATATATTGCATCCATCTATAATTATATATATATATATGTATATATATATGCATATAGATATGCATATATATGTATATATATTATATGTATAATATATTTTTAATATATTTATATACATATAAATAGAAGGAAAGGATTAAATAAGAAGAATATGGTGAATTATCTAGCTTATTTTGGTGGTGGTTGTTCCCTATAAAATCGATGGTGAAATTATTCTAAAATGCTATGTAACCCACATTTGACGGATTTACATGGACACATAAATCTAAAACCAGAGAAATTTCCACGAGAATGAGCTCTTTCAAGTCCTGCTTTCTCTTCCTAACAGACCATGGCTCCCCTAATGAAAATACCTAGCAATGGAAACATGACTTTTATCATCATTTTATCCCACCTGAAAAAAACCCAAACAGAAACCAAAAACAGTTGTCAAACTTGTGGAGCAATGTTCTCTAAGGAACCAAACTATAGGGCTATCACAAAGTCCAAAAGACGATGGCAGACACTACAAAAGTTGATTAAAAGTTTCAGTGGAACTTTTCTCCTGGCAAATGTTATTTTGCAGAACCTTACCAGTTTTCTGTGACAGCATATTTTGTGGTTTGGCCTTTTGAGGATTATTACATTATTGGTGAGGGTAAGTGTTATATTTTGGGGGCCTTCTCTGCTGTATGCTCACCTTAAATCTTCATTCATAGCTTGGTGCTTGGCTGGTTACAATGATTAAGTCAGTAAAAATGTTTCGATTTGACAAACATGTTTAATTTTGCATAGTGGCAAAAGTTCTAAACATTTATACAATGTGCCTGGGCTCTGCATTTGTATTGGGATGAAAATATATGCTGTTTTTGGAATCTTTCCTGATCTGCTGCAAAGAGGCCTCCAAAGATTCCTCTATGGGTTCACTGCTAGTGAGTAGGGAGGGCTGCACAGCCAGTGCATCGGAATGGGCATCTCCAGGCCTGGAGGGCCTTGGCCAGCACAGAAGGAAGAACCTACCGGGAGTGCACTTGCCCTCCTCAGTGAGGTGTCAGGCATTTGCAGGCCTCAGGGCAGCTGCCATGGGCTTGTCTCTATCCTCTAGACTCAACTCCGCTTTTTTTTTTTTTTTCCTCTATTTTACTTGATCTGAACAATTCTACTCTCTGGGTAAAAGTTTAACACTTTGAGAAATAAACATTCGGAGAGGGACGGAGACCACAGGCTCATGGGTTGGGAATGTGGAAGTCCCTAGGTATGTGTAATTAGAGCACCAGGTCATAAGGACTCTGCAATGGAGCATATTTCTTCCTTGACTGCAATATGCATTAATATTCCATGGGCTATTTTCTCCTCTGCCTGTTTTACTTAGTTTCAGAAGTAGCTTTGCAGTGACCTAGTACCCCAGTTCCCATTCTAGAGAATGTTTTAATTCTCCCGAGATAGGCTCTTTTTTTCCAATGGTTGACTCAGTCATGCAGCTTGAATTGAACTTTTTGCCTATAAAAATGATCCCTGGACTCTCAGTCTCAGTGGTTTGAAATATCTTGGTATTGCCTACCTTAAACTATTATGCCAAAACTAATAATGGACAAAGGAGAATATGTTCTATACCTTGGTGTATTCCCTAATTTAGTGTGTATATGTGTGTGTGTGTGCGTGTGCACACGCATGGGTGCATGTAGACAGAGAAAGAGGAAGGAGGCGGGGGGAGGGGGGAAGAGCCGGGTGTGGTGGCACATGTCTATAATCCAAGTGATTCAGGAGACTGAGACAGGAGGATTGCAAATCCAAAGGGAACCTCAGTAATTTAGTGGGGCCCTAAGCAACTTAGCAAGGCTCTGTCTCAAAATATAAAAATGGGCCGGGGATGTGGCTCAGTAGTCAAGTGCCCCTGGGTTCAATCCCAGGTAACCAAAAAAAAAAAAAAAAAAAAAAAAAAAAAAAAAAAGAAAAGAAAGAGAGTCAGATAGAGATAAGTTGTTTTCTTTTTTTGCCATCGTTTTATCCCACTCTTGATCAATAGCTTCTGTGGAAGCTCTAACTCCAACCTAGAAAACTCTGGAATTTTTTCTTTAAATCTCTGCTTTTTAAAGAAGAAGGGCATGGAGAACATATTGGAAGTCTTTACATGCAACCTAAGTACATCCTGTCTAGTAAAGTTTTCTGTGAGAATGTTTTGGTACTAAGAAGATTCAGTATTTTCTAGAAAAATATATTTTAACAGGAGAAGGCTGTAATAGGTCTTTTGATTCTGGAAATCTAGCCATAAAAATGTAGCAACCTAGAGTAGGCTTGGCATGGCCTCTTTCTTTTGGTGATTAACATATATCCCTGTGGTATTGCAAACATATGCAAAATAACAAAATATAGTGTAATATAAATTCCAGTCATTAAATATGAAACATGTCAGTTTTTTACATGTCTTCTCCAAAAGATTTATTTTATC